GAGTCCACTCCAGAGCCCGCTCCAGTCCGGGAGCTCACAGAGTCCACTCCAGAGCCCGCTCCAGTCCGGGAGCTCACAGAGTCCACTCCAGAGCCCGCTCCAGTCCGGGAGCCCACATAGTCCACTCCAGAGCCCACAGGGTCCACTCCAGAGCCCAATCCAGTCCGGGAGCTCACAGGGTCCCCTCCAGAGCCCGCTCCAGTCCAGGAGCCCATAGAGCTCATTAAGGAACTCACTCCAATCGGGGAGCCCTCTGAGTCCGCTCCTGAGCCCGCACCAGTCCGGGAGCTCATAAGGTCCAATTCAGAGCCTGCTCCAGTTCAGGAGCTCTCAGAGCTCATTAAGGAAGTCACTCCAGTCCGGGAGCTCACAGGGACCGTTGCGGCGCAATCGGCCTGTCCTGTTGCAGCCGTTGAGGCTGGTACTAAAGTCTCTCTGCTCTGGTTTACAGTTTTCCTTGAGTCGCTGAGAGGGTTTTCTGTCCCACCAGTGTTGCCTGGCAGGATTCCGACTCTGCTCTGGTTGCCCGCCTGGGTTCCTGTTTGGCAGGAGCCTCACTGGCTCATTACTCCGGCTCCATCCTGGCTATCTGCTGGGATTTCTATGTGGTTGGGGCTTTGCTGGTTCATCCTGCCGGCCCGCCGACCTTGGCCTTTCACCCTGCCGGTTCTGTGCTCATGCCCTGGTCTATCTCTGTCCCCTGGCCCCCTTCCATTTGTATGGTCTTGGCCTGCCGTCCCTCCCCCTGGTCCGCCTCAGTTCCACCTCCCTCCTGAACTTTTGTTTTCTGGTGGAGCGTCTGGTATCCGCTCCGTAGAGGGGGAGTAATGTCACAGTGTCTGGTTGTGGTGCCCTGGACTGGCCACTTGAGGGCGCTCTTCCTGTTTCTTTGTTACATGTTTTGAACTCTGTTTCCCATAGTCCTTTGCCTTGTCGTTCTGTTCTGATCATGATCACCTGTTAGTAATTTACTCATCATCCCATCACTATTTATACCATGCTCACTCTGTCTGTCTGGGCTGCAGTATTGTTTGAGGTTACATCGT